TGCTTACAAGCATTTCTCGCACTTTACTATCGGTTCCGTTATTAGGGATGGGATTAATACCCAATAAATGACAGAATAGGTTGTAGTGATCGACCATTTCTAATGGTTGTGCCATAAAATTCTTCTTGAAAGCGGGTCCAAAACCATACATAATGCCTCTCATATCAGTGTCGTTAATGTCATAGCCGTGATTACCACCCCTTGGCTTTTTCTGTGATTGCTGTGCAGGATATACCACTCCTTCAATGATAGGCTGAAATGTATTGATATTTTATTTAATGCAACTATAAGTTATTCAAACAATTTATTGCCAAAAATTTAACTAATTATGATATGAGTGAAACTCACGGCTCGAAGAGTATAACCGATATCAACGGTCACCAAAATAGGCAAAACTAATGAATTGTGTTTATAATGAAATTGTTTGGGAATGTCGTCCCTTTTATATACTTTAATGCCTTTCACTCTACGTAACTGCTTATAGACCTAAGAGTATAAACAAATGATTTGAAAAATTAATAAAAATTAAGCAACAGATATAAATAAAAAAGACCTCATCCAGTTTGCCGGCTTTGGGTGTAATCTGTGCTCCAGAACCTCCCCCAAGAAATACCTCGATGTTGTCAAAATCGACACGATCTTCCAAAACAATTGGTTTGAAATCGTCGAGTTGTGTCATTCCGTGATCGGATACGATGACAACATTCACTTCTTTGTCTAACTTTCTCTTCGCTAACGAATCGTATAAATCGTAAAGAATTTCATCGATTCCTTTAATTGCTTCTCTAATGGTTGGAGAATTGGGTCCAAAGGCATGACCTGTTGTAACAGAATTGAGATTATAAATAGGTTTATGTATTAAGTGTTTAGTTATGCCATTGATTGTATTTATTAATAAAATTAATTTTTGCTTACAAGTGATGCTTATCTAAAAATATTATAAGAAATATGTGATTGTTATTCATAGAATGAAAGCCAATCGTGTTTATCAAATTGTTTTCTCAGTTACGATATTACAGTAATTATTACTGCAATATTATAGTATAATTTAAAGTTTTAAGTCATATTAAACCATATGTGAATTAAATAAAAAATATTGATTGAAAATACGTATATAATAAATAATGTAATTAAAAATATGAAAAAAATTATGATCAATATATTTTGAAAACACATTTATATCAAATTCATATAACTATAAAAACAGAACAAATATTTGTTTTTATAAATGAAAAATACAATAAATAAGAAGAGTAAAGTCCCATCACTCCCTTTCCCTCTCAAAAATGTACAAAAAAAAACTTTGCAATAACTTTAAAACAGAGGAGACAAAAGACAACACATACCGATGTGATCGACCATTTCGTGGTACAGAAATACGAGCCTATATTTATCGTCCGCGAAGTCGTCTAAAATTTTCTGACTATAGTTTCGGGTTTCTTCATCTGCTTTGCTTTGGTCTTCGGAGACCGTATGATATTCAACACAATTGGTAACTTCGATGCCATTGAATGCCACTTGACATCCGTCCCATAAATACATAGCGGTCTTAATTCCCTGTTTCTCAGCTGTTATCCACAGCGGCTCACTCTGTGTCCACCAATGAGTGTGTGAGGCGTTTGGGTGCGGACCCATTAAAAAGTGATCGCCGGTCTGATTGTCATACATATAGTTTTGAATCATACCGTGAGTCTCGTCGTAACGACCGGTTGTTATTGCATACCAATTGGGGTAAGAATTGGCCGGAAATATGGGATTCACGTATTTAGCGGACACACCGTTTTGAGCGATCAATGGAAAGCCTTTGAGTGTCTTCTCTCGTGAGACATAATCCCAACGAAAGCCGTCCACTAATATAATCAACAATTTTGACTTATTTTCTGGTTTCTCACAGTGTCTTAGATGGCTAAGGAAGCCATTACGTAATTATCTCTCTCTTACACACTGTTCATAATGTGTTTATTATCTTTTAAATTAGTAAAAATATTTTAACACAGTTGTCAATAAGTTTGTTTTTTTATATAATATTAGCACAAATTATGTGTAGGTTTTAACAATGTAATTTATACTAACAATACATTAACAAATTTTTTTTGTATTGTATATCAAATATAAAATATTTTTATTATGATGGCAAAAAATATTAATTAATTATGAATTATTTGAATACCTGTAATTCAAATGATATTTAATGCGAAAATTTAAATATCACTTTTCAAAACAGGTACACTTAAACCTCTACAGTACTGTATATCTCAAACATATGGGCAGCGCATCTGTTTCTTCGGGTTATAAAGGGTTTCGAGTTATGGAAAACTTTTGGATTATTTATAAAAATTCGAGTTATTTATGACTTTCTTTTATGTAATTAAATTATGATTTTATTGACACAAAAATCGTATGCCTTTGTTATACAATACAACTGACTTGTGAAGTTTAAAAAGTATATTGCATTCATGATTTTATTCAATAATTTTCATATAAAATTATATAGAATTTACACAAAAGCTAAGACATAACATAATAAATAAATTGATGATTGAAATTGAATTTATGACACTATTGTCTCCACTGCTTACAAGCATTTCTCGCGCTTTACTATCGGTTCCGTTATTAGGGATGGGATTAATACCCAATATATGACAGAATAGGTTGTAGTGATCGACCATTT